TCCAAACACAATAAAATAACATAAATAAATAAAATAAACTTTTGCTTCATGATCTTACTACAAACGAAACATAACACTGTATGAAAATCTGAAAACACAAATATAACATAAATATAAAACAGTTATATCTCATGCCATCAGAAATGACCCTCAATACTTAGGTGATATATGCTCTTAGATTTCAGAGATGGTGTCATGCTGTAGATTTTTACAGCTGTAATCTTATCCAGTTCATTTATGATCAAGCAAGTATACTGGAGAGGGACTTTAGGTGACTACTGATGGATAAGTAACTGTCAAAAACACAGCTCCTCCCCTTCCTGAATCACATTCTAGTGAGTGAAATAAGGCAAGAGAAGGAGCTTTGAGAATTTAAATCAAGTGCAGGAACTGACCTGTTCTGGGAGACACAGAGGAAAAAGAAGGGACTGGAACATGGGAGGTGGGATGGAGATGCCTCGGGGTGCTGAAATGAATGAGGGAGCTCTGAAAGGCAGGCATGGGAAAAGGGCCCCACTGTGCACCATGGAGCGTGCAATAGCAGGCTGCACTTCTGTTCTAGCTCATAGTCATCCGTTCTGTCAGAACTCTGAATCTGTGAAATCCAAAGGATGCTGAGCAGCCCCAATAGACCAAGCGAGGCTAAGCAAACATCACAGGCAAACATTATACAAGCTACTTTGCAGGGATGCATCTGGGGCCCTATCCCTAACCCATTTTACATTGTAGAAAGAAGTTAAATACAGAAAGGTAGTGCAAGCAATAATGGAGTAACACACTGTGGGTCCTGGAAGAACTGTGTCAAGAAACTGGGCTTCTCCACAGATAAGCTATCTGGCACATGCAGGACACTCACCTGGGTGCCAGATGTGAGTACTTCTGTGTGTGCCAAGGCAGTTCCATCTGTGGCTTAAGACACTGGCTGGGCTTTTGATCATGGGGAGAAGAGTGATTCATTACAAAGTACAGGATAAGAGGTTCCAGAGCTGGAGTGTTAACAGACAAGGTTCTCACTCTTTGCTTTCCTTTCATCTTATCTTCTGGGGCTTCTTCAATATTCGGTGACAACTATGCTTTTAATGATGACTGGGGTTTGCCTCCAATGCCTTGATAGCTTGCTTACTGCTTCCATAGATACAGGGAATCTTCTAAAGCACCAGAAGATTTTATTTCCTGCCTAGGTGAGAAAAGAAAGGAAAGAGATAACTAGTACAACAGATAACTAATGTTTTGTTTCTTATGAAATTAAAATGCCATTCCTCATTTCAAACTTAACTCTTACAGTGTGACAAGAGTGACAATGGATTCTGACAAGTTGCTGTGAAGGGGTCTTCTGCATTTTAGGTGGTTGGTGGGAGTGCCGAAAGATTAATGGGGAAGGGGTAAAGAGCCCTGTGAAGCTTACCTCCTTTTTTACTCTTAGAAGACACTGACTTGTAATGTAGCTTGCTATGATGAGAAAAGCAAAAGGTTTCTTGACAGTAAGAAGAGCAAATAGCTCGGGCAATTATCCTAGAAACTCATAAAAGCCCTATCTCAATTGTGTCTGAACCACACTGACTACCACCATTTATGCTGGTCTATGAAGATATTCCTTCCCAGAAGCAAACAACTGTATTTTGCATAACACATTTAGGAGGAGCCCAAAAGTATGCATGTCCTAAGGCCACTGGGGTTTATTATTTTTCTTGAGGATGTTAAAATAGATGGTGATCTCAAATGAGGTTCTTTGTCTTATGGTTTAATATCACAGGATGCAGAGAAGATGAAGTGGCACTGCTTGTGCAACTCACTGTTGGCAGCTCTCAGGAGTAGTCACCTCCACAGCCCTGCAAAGTTATCCTCACTTTGGCAGGTGACATGGCTCAGGCTCTGTGTGGAGGAGACCTGTGCTCCTTCCCATGTGTTCAAACCCTCTGCTCCGGAGGATCATTTTCTCCTGTCCAATAACATCCTTCTGTGATGTCCAGAGCATTTCTTCTGTGGAAGGCCTACTTAACCCTAGCTTTTCCTTCAGGACAGTGTATTTTTTTTAATGTGGTCAAATACATATGATGTAAAATTTACTGTCATAACTATTTTTAAATGTATAATTCAGAGCCATTAAATGTGTTAACCTGTGAGCAACCATCTCCAGAATTTTTCATTATTCCCAAATGAAGCTCTCCATTAAACCCTAACTCTTCACCTGTTGAGCTCTATTGTACTTTCTGTCTATAACTTTCACCATTTGGGTACCTCAAATAGGTGGAATTATACAATATTCATCTTTTTCATTTGGCTTATTTTATCAAGGGCAATGTTTCAAGATTCATCAGTATGAATCTCCTTCTTCTTCAGGCTGAGTGATATTCCATTGTGAGTGTACCCTGTATTTCACCAGTGCATTCATCTAGACATTTAGGTTGAGTCTACCTTTTGACTATCATAATGCCTTGAACATCGGTGTACAAATACCTGTTTAAGTTTCTGTTCTCAATCCTTTGGCTATATGTCTAGGAAAGGAATTGTTGGATTGTACGGCAGTTTTATGCTTAATTGTCTTAAGGAACCACCGAACTGCTTCCCCCAGTGGTTGCGCCATTTTACATTCTCACTGGCAGTGCACTAGAGTTCAATTTCTCCACATCCTTGGCATAATTTTCTGTTTTTTTTGGGTAATAGGAATCCTCATATAGGTGAAGTATTATCTCATTCTGGTTTTGATTTCCATTTCCCTAATGATCAGTGATGCTGACCATCTTTTCACGTGCTTATTAGTCATTTCTATATTTTTGAAGAAATGTCTACTCAAGTCCTTCCTCATTTTTTCATTGGGTTAGTTGTTAAGTTATAGTTCTTTATATATTTTGAATATTAATTTCTTGTCAGATATGCAATTTGAAAATATTTTCTCCCATTTCGTCAGTTTCTTTTTCACTTTCTTGATAGTGCCCTTTGATGTTCAAAATTTTTAAATTTTGAGGAACTGCAACTTATTTATTTTTTCTTTTGTTGCTTATGTTTTTGGATTACATCCAAGGAAAATTGACAAATCCAATGTTGTGAAGTTTCCTCCTACATTTTCTTCTAAAAGTTTTATAGTTTTAGATCTTTGGCCTTTGATCCACTTTGAGAAATTTTGCATATGGTGGAAGAGTTCAACTTCATCCTTTTGCTTGTGGACATGCAACTAATGATATATTTCTGAAGTTACTTTTTATAACAAAACTTACTGCTTTTCATGGGCATTCTGTAGGCAATTTGTGGCAGCAGAAGCTTCTTTTGCATCACTTGAATTCCTAATTTATTCTCTTCCACAACACAATAAACAGCAGAGGATGAAGCTAAGTCTGTATGGGTTACTGGCCATATGAACTCATTTTAGATAACTCTAGATTCCAGAATCCTCAATAATAACACAGTACGTCTTTGTAAGGCAAAAAGTTACAATCTTTGTTTCTCTGCTTTTCTTTTAAATCTCTTGCAAACATAGTGGATACAGTTGTGATTACTTGTGATTAATTGACCATACACTTTTTAAAAGGGGCAGCCTGCTGGAATTGGCTGGGAGACAGACAGAAACTTCCTTAGCTCCACAGATATCTCTCACAATATGTATTTCATTTTATGGATATGGTTGATTTATATATTTCTGTCTTCCAATGATACTGTGAAACTGTTAGATTTCTCATGCCTAGAACAGTGACTGGAGCATATATTAATAAACTAAACTGAAACAATAGCATTACTCCTTCATGTCTTCCAAACCATGTTAGCGTGCAAAGGCAAAACCTGGGCAATGAAATGTTTTTCTTATAGGGTCATATAGCCATAAACACTGGAGGATAATGATGATTGCTCTGAATGACATGTAGTAGATTTCATGGAATTTCAAAGTTGAACATCTGTGTCTTTATTAAAAAGGAAATGGAACCAGCCACGACAAACTTTATCTCTCCACCTGTTGCTCAAAATAAATCTAATCTTAGAATAAATATCTTCAACTAAGCAAGCAAATACTGACTTTTCAAAAAATTTTTCATAATAAAATCATTCATAGAAATGAGATCACATCATAAGATTCTCACCATTGTTCTGAATATGCAGGCAAATAAAAGATGCTGTGTACCTAGAATAGATGCAAGACTTATTTCTATTTGTTCTAAATGAGACATATATGAATGTTTCTGTCTTTTTATTTCCACACCATGGATCATGTATCAGGGCAACTAACGCTCAACTATTTTGAAAATCATTCAGATCAGACTTATGTGAAGAGGGCATTTAGCTTTACCTCTTAGAAATGCCAACTCCCTGTTTGGTCAGCTCTCTTCTATAGATAGATATGACCACCGTTTGATCAAAGATGGACCACATACAGCAGGGTGGTCCCATAAAATAGCCACCTTAGTTTGCATAAGTGCACATTATGTGTTACACAAAGGTGGCATTACAAGTTTGCATTTCAAGTTATTTAGTCCACATACCTGATTCACAACTGTAATTATCTTCTGTTCCTTAGAAAATACGGTGTTTCAGATCAGGCCAATAGAGAGAAACAAGAGGCCTGAGCAAGAGAGAGGGTGGCAGACACCCTGCTGGTTAACAGTCTTCTTAACTGGTTTTGCAGAAGCCTATCCCTCCTCTCCCTCGGGAGCCCTGGCCTAGACTAACAGGGGATCCATGGAGACAGCCAGCAACGTGGGGCATGAATATTCACATATTCAGCAGAGAGGAAACCAATATATCAGCAAGTGATAAGACAGTGTTATCCCACAAGGCTAGTTCCCTTTTGCTCATCTCCCTCCTCATTTCTCTTCAGGGCTGAATTACATCTAGGTGGAGCATAATTTGACAGATAAAAAAAAATAAGGTGTGATTTGGTGTGGCCACAGCCAGAGACCCTCTAGACCACAGCCTCTATTTTAATGACCTCCACCGGGTGCCAGGGGCTGGCTGAAGACCGCCCTTTTTCCATCTGCACGGGCTTGACCACACCCCTCACTTAAGGAGGCAGCGCTATTAGAAACAGTATGGTCTTCGCATCCCCTTCAGCAGCAGAGCGGCGCACTCCCGCAGGTAGTTGGAAGGAGCCCGCAGACCTGGAGTCGAGCTTCCTGGGTAATTGTTCTTCATTCCGTCTCTGGCGAAGTGTGAGTTTCTGCTTCCAACTTTCTATTCTATTTTCCTTTTCCTGTTTCTTCTCCCACCACACTCCCCCCACCCCATGCTGTGAAATTAAAAGATAGATTAGTGGAAACTTTCAGGATACAACCAGGTTTTTCCTCCTTCTTTCTACATTCATCCATTGAACTGCTTCATACTCTTTTTCAAACACGCTGCCTAACTTTGTTAGGATAGTCAGACATCCAGACTATCTCCTTTTCAAAAGCAAAGTCAGGCGCATTTTAGATACTCTGGGACACCTTGTCACAGACTGAATTTTCCTTGCAGATTGGAACACTTCCAAAAAGATAAAACTAGTTCAACACAACATAGAGATTTCTTTCTTTTCTCTCTCTCTTTCAGTCCTGGTGGGTCTATTCTTTTCCTTTTCTTTTCTTTCTTTCTTTCTTTTTTTTTGTTCTTAGCATCTTAATGAATTGCTTTTATAGAGAGGAAATTGCCACAGGTTTGAATCTTGCAAGGCAAGCTAGCCTGTTGGGTGCTTTTTGCTGTCTTGCAACTCCCACTTCTGCAATGGTTTGCCAATCTTTTGGACGGTAGTTGCACCATGTAGAGTATGCAGGTGGGCTGGGGGGACGTCTCCTGGTCTCGGTCATGGAGGGAGTGGGGGGCATCTTTCCTGCACTAGAGGGCTGGGCTCCAGAGAACCTGCTCTGGAGAGGTAGGAGTCGTGAATGACAATTCCTGTCCAGTCCCTGGTTGTATCTGGCAATCCTACTTGGTGTGGGGTTTCTCATCTACTATTAAAGATGCTTCTATTTCTGCCTTTCAAAGTTGCATTTTCTGTGGGTAAACTTTGCAATAGATCTTAGGTTTCTGAAATCAAGGCATTTGATTGCAGGGTTTTTTCTTTCTCTCTCTTGCTCTAGCTGTTAAATCTCAAGGTCATTTTTCTTCCTGCTTCATAACACTGCTGTGCAACTGAAAAAACATCTTTGTTTCACATTATTAAAAATAGGAAGAAAAGGGCTAAAGGAGTAGGGGAAGTGGGAAGGGTAGGGAAAGGAAAGAAGGGAAAAATCTGAGAAAAGGAACAAATGGAAACAAAGTCTTTGTAAATAGGAAAGGGTAGAGTGGGTGAAGGAAGTGCAGGGGAATGGGGGGAAAAAAGAACAAAGATACATCATGTAAAGGTACAAGATCCCAGTAATGAATGTAAATATATTGTATACCTAAAAAGTACCAGTAAACTTAATAAAAAAAAAATAAAACTCCACCTTCTCCCCCCAAAATCTTTGTTAAACAGTAGGAAATACAGATCCTAAAAGAACTCTGGCGGCTCCATTTGATTTGTAAAAATTACTGACATTTAACTGGTCCATCAGCTGTGGTTCTGGATTGCTGCACCTCCTTTTGTTTTTTTAAAATTAGAGAAGCCCTGTGCTTCAGCAGGCATGGATTATGCAGGGAGGACTGCTGGAGGCACTCTTCCTGTTAGATTCTTACTTACCTGGTGTTCCTGAATGGAGCTGAATGAAGCTAATGAGTAAATGTCTGTGAAGTGCTTTGAAGATGAAAAGGGCTTTTCATGTGTTTGGGTATTGTTGTTATTAATATTAATATTTGAAGAAGCATGCTGTTTCGAATTGTAAATCAACAACTTCCATCCTTGCCAACTCGGTAGTGAAATAATAAACAGTGCAGGCAAGCATGTGGCCTCTTCCGTCCTGGTTCCTGCTGCTGAGGATGTAGGAAGAGGAGTCTGATTAGGAGAAGGCATCTTTGCCTCACAGGCTCCCTACACCCAGGTGCTAGTTGCAAGAGGTCCTAGAGCACAGGCTGGGGAAGCTGGGTACAGAGGTGTAATCAGACACCTGGCAGCCTGTGACCTTGGAGATCTTAGAACTGCATTGCTTGTTCCAGATGCTGATGGAGTTGAAAAGCAAGTAGGATCAGCGCTGGAGCCCTAGAGGAGAGTGGCTGTGTTCTTGGACTCTCTGAGAAGTTAGCTTTACTGCTGATAGCAATTGATCGAAGGTGGCCGTGAATGATAATTTGTGCCCCACCTGTTTCCCAAAGATGAGAAGCTAAAAGTCAAAAGCATGGAGCTCTGATAAATAACATTGCCCATAGGTCCAGGACAGTCTGCAGCAGACAGTGAGCAGGTCCCTAGGGGAGAGAGAGGCAGAAAGGCAACAGGCTGGGAAACAAGTAACTGCACTGGGAGCTTCAGTAGCTTGTTGGGTTTCTTACTCTCAACTTGGGCTCTGTTGTGCCTCTTGGTTTTATTTACTGGTGAACAGATTTTTTTTTTAACCCATAACAACTGTCATTTTCTATTTACTCACTCTAACTTCCCAGTTATTCACTTCAAATAAAACAGAAGGGATGAATACAACCCAGAAATTTATTCTACCCATCCCCTTTTCCTTCCTCCTTCTTTTTCTTTTTTCCTCTCTCTTCCCTTCTTTCTTCCATTCTTCCCCCATTTTTCACTTTCTTCTTTATAGGAATTACAAAACATTTAGTATTTGAGAGAAATTACTGTTATGTGCAGTAATTTAATTGCATTTGAGGCAAACCTTTTGAGTTTTTTCAATCCTAGGGGAATTTATATATAAAAACATAATTCACTTTTGCCTCCTTATCTCCTTTATTCCTGCTCTGGAGAGATAACAATGAGTACTAAAAATGTAGTATTACAGGGTTCAGTCTTTTAACCTAGTTGATATTCTAGCGACCAAGCACGAGTGTTTTCAATAACTTTGAAGGAACAATCTGGACAGTCCTTATAAGGTTGAGAGTAAAGCAGTAAAGTCAAGTGTCAGCAAAACAGTCTTAAAATGGGGAGAAATAAAATTGTCAAGATATACTGAAAACCTCAAGATTTTAGTCTTTTAAAAAATGTTTCATTTGAAAGCAACTCCAGATGCATAAAGGTCCCAAAACTCTGTATGAAGAGTTTCCAAAAAGTTTAGATCATTTTAAATTGTGAAAGATATAATGCACATCAGTCTCCTAAATCATCTTTTGCTTCCTCCAGTGATCTGGAATCCAAATGATTTTCCTGGGTGGGCAGAAACCCATTGCCAGTTTCTTGATATAAGGGGCTAAAGAATTAAAGCCCCAGCTTCTCTGGAAAGATGGAAGCCTTGTCAGATGTGGTCATCGTCTGGCATGTGGCTTGAGAAACCAAGTCCAGAAGGGTCCTGAGCTGTAGAGGTTTTCCTGGCCAGATTTGCATCACACAAGTTTGCTCTCAAACTTCAGCTTGGTCTTGGCACAGGTGTCATCTTCTTTGTTTCCTGGAGGGCTCTGCCTTCTAAACATCCACCCTGTCCAAAGTGCTCATCAATGCAATCAAGTCCAATGCTGTCTCACTCCAGCCCAGAAGTCCTTTGACCCACAGAATTGGTGTCATGGGGACAGGCATCCTGCAGAGCTCCCTCTTTTGATGACCTTGTAATATGATTCATATGCACATCATAGTTTGGGTGGCACTACTTTAAAGAAAAAGGGAGGACCAAAGGAAAAAAAAAAAGAGAGAAAACCAACAGAAGGAAAAGCCCTTGCAACATTTTCCCTTTTCCCATTTCATTGCTTTCCTTATACAGTATTTATAGCTAGTTGCTTCAATATTACTCCATAAAAGATTGACATTTGTATAAAAAAGATATTTGTTTAACTCAGGAAGCTGCAATAGTTCCTCATTTGTGCTATGCAGTCTTTCAGTGAATTTGTTCTGAGCTGTAAGAAAAATGCTTACTTCTTGGTTTTATGCATAACAATAGTACAAACTGAATACCATTCAGTAGAAATTGTGGCTCTTTTCTCCTGCAAAATTCTTGGCTAATGCTACTCCACCTATGATTATGAAAGGGAATCCTCTTTTGATGACTTAAATGCAAATCCTTAGGAAAAGAAATGAGGATGTATTTGGGCCATTGGTGCTTTACCTTTAATTCTTGAATAAATGACTTTTGCTGATGGGCAGTAAACATAATTAATAAAAAAACATTATTACTTCTCACTAGTGAATACTTAGTATGTAACGGCCAGACCCTATTGGGAAAACAGCAAAAAGAACAATTATTGTTATTTATTGGCCATTTTACCATGTGTAAGGCACTCTGTTGTGTATGTGTGTGTGTGTATTCTACATATATATAGCACCATATATACATATATATATACTATACTACCATATATATATATATATATACTACCATACACACACACACACACACACACACATATATATATATATATATATATATATATATATATATACTATACTACCATATAGTACATATATATATAGAATCCTCAATCATTCTAAGTATTCATACTATTGTCTTCACTTTATATGTAGCTGAGGAAACTAAGACCCTGGCCTTAAGAAATGTGGCCAGGACCATACACTCCAGAAGGGACTCCTTCATCCATGGTTTGTGAGTCCACAGCTTTTGCTAAACATGGAACCTCTCTGGACTCAGTTCATTCAAATAAAAATGAGCTGATCTGGTTAATTTTTTTCCAACTCCAAATTTCAGTGAATTTGTACAACCCTCTTTAGAGAAGAATGCCAGCAAGCTGTTCAGCATTATACTGAGAAATTGGAACCTTACAATTTGGGCAATAAAACAAATGAAACTCCACCATGAAAATCACAATCAGATAAAGTCCAAGAAATTGCTTGGCAGAGTTGAGAGAGTTAAGTCAGCTGGTGTCTTTTAGTTTGATTTTATAGGGGCATTATTAAAATTATCCAGTTTCTTTTAATTGCTCTGTCAATCTTTCTTTCTATTTATGGTGTCTCTCAGTTTTGCTGAGAGCCCTACAAACCAGAACCAAATCTACATTGTACAGTAAATCTGAAATGGTCCACAAGCTATGGGGTGAAAATAAATTGTTTAAAATTCTAGGTCTTCAGGGATTTCTGTCACAGAAACTATTGGGTCACAGTTAACATTTCCAGTCTTGTAGGCCTTCTT